AACCGCCCCATTTGAGTTGGAAATCCGCTTCATTTGGGGGGTTTATCAATCAAGAGTCTATACATGTCTATACACTAATTACTTTTGAAGGTGGTTGGAGTGGCTTTGGGGTTTAAACTACCCTCTGAGGGCACGTGGCACACGAGCCCCAGGGACCATCTTTCCAGGTGCACAAAACCACGGACGGTGCTGCGTGGGCACACCGACACCGACTTGTGGTGATGGCCCCTTTTTTCCCGCTCGAAGTCGCTTTGGAAGTCGTCCGTGCACCTGCCGATGTCGTGCTGAAGGTCAGAACTCTCATGTGCTCAGCATTGGGTATATCTTGGGATATCTTGGGTATATCCGATTCGCTGTAACTGTGGATGATGGTTAGGTTGCAGGCCTTCTCAAGTGAGAATCTTTCATCGACTGTTACAGGTAATGGGACACACCCAAAACCAGGGCCCAGTGGATGATGATGGGTTAGTAAAGACCGACTGTTACTGGTAATGGGACAAACCTCATGCATAGCACACAATTGGAAAGAACTTGAGAGGAGGGAGACACGAAAGGTAGGACAGCGGGAAGAGAAGAGAACGCGAGAGGCAGGAACAAAAACGCAATGTTCGACATGGTGATTTATCCCCTCGGAGGCGACCTTTCGTAAATATAATTTCATATGCACTCTAAATGTTCAAACATATGCTCTCGAAATGTTCAACAAGATTCTTAGGAAAACAAATTTGCCCCATGGCTCAGAGCATCGGTGAGCATTGAATCGGAGCATCATAGGATGTGAACTATCCTGAAACCATAAGAGGCTCACGAAGACGTTCCCCAGGATTGAATTGACGTGCTTCACAAAACAAACTCTAGGTATGTATCCCCTCAGGGAACACCTTTCGTGATTAGAATATCATATGCACTCTTTCTGAATGTTCAAGAGGGTTTCAACTATCCTGAAATCATGAGAGGCTCACGAAGACGTGTACCGACGGGGGAATTGATTTTGTGGGGGGGGGGGGGGGGGTCTGTATTGAGAAAGCAATTCCAAGCAAATCAATTCCAAGGGGGGGAGGGGTTGAATTGAATGATCAATTATTAGACCCTTTTCCGCGCCGACACTTGCTTCACAAGACAAACGTCAAGGTATCCCAAAGACAGGGCTACCTTTTGTGAATCAGAGCCATCCAAGGTATCGAGGTCGGTCGCAGTCCGCTCCATGTCTTCAGCGGACAGGAACGCTCCCAATGGAACCCGTGACGCCCCGGGCCCACACGCACCGGTGACGCCCCGACCGCCGGTCCGCGGCGCAGCGTCAAGGAACTGTTTGATGGACCAAGCATGGACATGATGCCATCATGCCATGAAGGGGGTTCCTTTTGTTCACCTCTTTATCACCCAATCTTGCAGTTCCATCTTCCAGATGTATCACATGCCATCTCTCCTTGGATGTTCTTTGTTGTTGCCGACACACCCGACCCAACCTCCCACACCAGACACCTCCGAGCGATTCTTCTAGGCAAAGACGTCCACGAGCCACCCCTCTTCGTCTGGCTGCAACCTGAGCGTCTGGAGAGTCGAAAGCACTCGGTCGACCGAGGCGATAAGAAGATCCCAACAGAGGTTGATAAAGCCATGCAGTGGGATATGTTATCACCCAATCTTGCAGTGGGATAGCTTGAAGAAGCCGCCTTTTTGGGGTCCTATAGCCTATATAGACTATCCCACTATATCGCCTATATGATCGTATATGGTCCTATATCCCAACACAGTGTCCTCTATAGACATGTCGACAGTCTATCCCACTAGTAGGCTTCTACTGTAGGGTCTGGTCCTTGCTTTTTTTCAGGTCCCACAGTTCTCTCTCTTAGGGTCGTTGCAATCGAAGAAACTACTTATATCACCTGCTCTTCTGCCACCTGCTCTTCTGGGAGAGAAGTCCAACGACCGGGACCCGGGACCCGAACTCCGTCGTCCAACGGAGTCGTCGACGCGTTCGATGATCGCTCTGCCTTTGGATGCCTAACTTGGCTGGCTTTTTAGATACAACATGATACAACTGAGACGGACGACCTGCCGCGGACGTTTGGCGCGTGTGGGATACAACAGGATCAAAAGGCAAACATGTCACACGGTTGGAAGAAGTGAAGGTCCAGGTTGGAGTGCTGAAGTTGGGATAAACATCTTCAGCTTCATCCGACTTCGACTTCCTGCTTCTTCTTTGACCGAACGTCAGACGCTTGCTTCGGTCACGCCAAAGGAGGTCTCACAATTTCAACCCAAAACGTTGAGGCGAAAAAAGCGATTGCAGGGGTCGAGGCAGTCCGTAGACCCATGTATGGCTCATCTATGGTATATTTACTGATGGAGTCGCCCAGACAGGAATTTTGAGGGGTGGCCATCTTTGACAAAATATCATAACATATCATAACATATCCATACCAATCCATACCACCATCTCATGTCGGGCTTCTCCCAGCCGCTGCAGCTGCGAAAGACAACGCGTTCTTAGGGTTATCAAGGATGGTAAAGGTATCAGTGTAGAGCTTGGAGTTTGATTTCGGTCTCCTCGACTCGCTCTTCGCTCCGGTCTCACCATCTCTTTTTTCAAAGGCCGAAAAGCGCGGGAGTTTCTGTGTCCAGGCGATCCGAATTGGGGCAAAGCGCACACGTGGGAACTTCGAATTTACAACGTCTGCAGTGGACCTCGCCCCTGTACAAAAGCGATCGTTCAGCTGGAACTGACGTCCATCCTCAGCGAACGGCGATGTTTTTTTTACATGAGCCTCAGGACACTCGACTGACTGACTCCTTCAGTTTCCCGGGAAACACATTGTTAACTACCTGTTCTTGTTTAGCGGCTAAACCACCCCCCAAAGAAGAGTGACCTGCAAGTGATTGGCTAGGTGCAGTCCGAACGCGCAGTCCGAACGTCACTCTTTCGAGGATCATCCAAGCTGCGACTTGACTTCACGTCTCAATGCTTTTCACTTCTCGGATCAAGGCTTTCCCGGCTTTCGGATGTATACTGTAAATGTTTTGAAACCAGTTGGCGATCGGCTTTCCCCAAGAACAATCACTCAGCTAGGAGGCCAGAATATCCTCTTCGATTCTTGGATGCTTGACTTTGAACATGGGAGAACGGCCCCCAGCTATCCTGCTGCGCAATCTGTGCAAGACATGACACGCATCAGCTCCTTGCGACTCTCTTCTTCACCCTCTTGGATCTTCTGAATATGTGGACTCATTTGCGGAAGAGGACTCAAAAGCTGCCAGGCATCAGAGCAGCTGGACTTGAAAATTATATCCGCAATGACAAATCCTCGGCCGAAAGGTGTGAAGATAGATGAAGAGCAAGAAACAACCTCTTGGACAATATGGACACATGAAAAAAGGATTCTGCAGATTTCTGACTCATGTCATCTCATGTAATTTTCAATTTCCTATCAGGGATCACTGTCAACTCGGAAGAATCTCAAATGAGACATAATGAGACACACCTACACGCTACTACACACGCTCACACACACGCACACACCGAATTGGGCGAGCAAGCAGGACCGGAACCGATCGTCCAGGAAACCTGGGAAACATAAGATATATTCCCCATGCTGCATGCCAGGGGATTTACCCAGTTCTGGGAAAACAACATCACCTGATCCGCAAAACCAGGCAAATCCGAGCGCATATTTCATGGAGCACTGCTCTCTCCGTTCTTCGCTCGGTTGCTCCATCGTTGATCTCCAAGGTGCTGGTCTCGAGGGCCAGGTACCCATTGCAAACTCATAGCCTTGGGAAGAAAAGTGTGCAACTCGCGCACCCGGAAAAACTGTGCAGTTGTGCTGGAATACCTGAATCTTCCAACTGTGCACACTTGCCGCCTTTTCATCTGAGTCTAAGTTTGGCAGATATTTTGCAGTTGGAAGCTCCAGGTATGCCATTGACCTATCAACCAGTCCCAGGAATGGGGGGGGGCGGTTGGGTGCTGGGATCCACTGAAATAGAGGACCCTCCTGGCGATCGACTGTTTGGAGAGACCACAGGTCCGTGAACCTAGACACCAAAGACACCGGATCTTGTCACCAGGTGTTAACCGGATCTTGGAGAGGGGAGAGGGTGCTGTTTTCGAGAACATGTTTTTCAATCTTGTGTGTTTCACCTCATTCCCAAAAATTCGATGATGATCCTTTCACACGGCGTTCGAACATCGCCGAAAGCGTACCGAACCCAACGGCGTGGAACGGATGAGAAAGCACCGAACCCGAACGCCACGGAACCGGGCCGGCAGCACCGGAACCCGGTTTAAGGAAGAAAGGTTAGGAACATAGGAAGCATCCGAAACCCAGACCCGTACCTGTCCATCCTCTCCCACCTCTCCATCCCCCAGATCCATAGGACTATGATGGGAATTGCAGGTCATTTTGATTACAGTACATGTAACTAGCACCTTCATGTCGGGATCGTTCGCCCCAGCCCTCCGGGACCGACACCCCGGTTGTTCAGGTCCAGGTAAGTATTCCAGTTCCATTTCGAGTGGTAGGGGTGTCCAATCCATGGCCCCACGGCCTGGTGAGGAGTGGCACCGGTCGCCCGACTGGACCCATCGAATCCGTCGAAGTGGTGTCGCACACGCGGAGACAGGGAGACAGTTCTCGGGCTCCTGGGGGGTCACGAGCCATCCCCATTCGATGCAGACCGGTGACACTCCCTGGAACGGTTTTACGTGGATGGCATGGCCCCGCGTTTGGAAGACCATAGTCCGAATACCAAGCAGGGGTTTGGAACTCCACTTTCATGGTGGTTCTAGGGGAGAGTATCATCTTTGACCGACTCTTGCTGGTCATGGAACACACCTTACACCCGGAAGAGACCCACATGTTGAACATGGACTGGAACCTGATGGCCCAGGCTGGAAGACCAGCTTGCCAATCCAGTGGTTTTCAGGCTTCACGGCTTCGTCGAGACAAACCAGGGCGTACTGGTCATGAATTCTGAGGCGCTCAATGCCTGGACCTTCATTTCTTCAGCTCTGGCAAGGCCGCCGCAGCGATGCACTGCCCCACCGCCTGGCACCGGGTGGAGCGCATCGGTGATCTTGGACAGAAGGTGATCGCCAAGATTAGCTTCTTTTGCGAAGGCCGCGAAAAGACGAATAAAAACAAACAAACAAAAACAAACAAACAAACAAACAAACAAACAAAAAAAACAAAGAAACACACAAACAAAAACAAACAAACAAACAAACCAAACCAAACCAAACCAAACCAACAAACAAACAAACCCAACCCAACCCAACCCAACCCAAACCAAACCAAACCAACAAACAAGCAAACCCAACCAACAAACAAACCCAACCCAACCCAACCCAACCCAACCCAACCCAACCCAACCCAACCCAAACCAAACCCACCCAACCAAACAAACAACAAACAACAACATGAACAACACACACTCTCTCTGTAAACGCACATTTTTTTCTGGGAATTCTCATGGAATCTCATGGAAGGCCAACTCGGCGCCTTCCAACTCGGCTGATGAACTCGGACCCTTCTCCGAGGTGAGGAGAGCTCCACCCGATCCAGCCGACGACCCGATCCGGTGACCGACCCTCGGACGAACCGCCCGTTCGGAGCCATCACCATCACCCGATCCGTTTCGTCCAAGACCAATGGGTCACCTACTATAATAGGTGATCCGAGGAATTTCCTTGACTTCGGTAGTGCCAATAGATCGAAGAGGACTTCGGATAGCATGGCTCCTGGAATGACCATGAAATCCTCAAACGAACAGTGTGGGTTTTCCACTTCTGAGGCAGTCAGAGTTTATCCTTGCGACCGACACAGGGTCGGTATGCATCTCCCATAAGATGTTTATTTGATGGGACGATCCTAGACTAGACGGATTCCGGCAAAAGCACAGGAGATCATGTTGATACCTAGCGCCTTCCCAGGTGGTTGATAAACATAACCCCTGGCGATTTCGTCACCTAGCAGTGGCCTCCATGTGCAAAGTTTATTCTTTTGGGGTCGAGTCGAGGTGCTGGGGTACCCAAGAGAGGTGGCCAGTGACCTGAACTAGGACCCGAGCTACCTGGGGTACCTACTCAGGATAGTCTAGTTCGGGTTCTTCAACCTCTGCTGGGGCAATTGATTTCTAGGAATTCTATCGATTTTCCTCTCAACATGTCCTCTGACCTGGCCGGACTTTTCCTTTCGAGAGGGACCGCTGGCATCGGACCCCCCCCAAATCAGGACATCGAACGCTGAAGAGAGATGAACACGACCAACTTCTCTTCTTGAAATGGCTGTGGTTTGCAAGGTACTTCAAAGTCTTAGGGTGTGCAACATGGGATATTTATCGATATCTTAAGCAATGGGTTCTTTCACTCTTCCTCTTGCGAGCAAGGTCCTGGTTTGTATACAATTGTATACCCAATTGAAATTCATCCAGAACATCCTCTTGACTCTTGACTCTTGGGCTTAGCTGTTCCGCTCAGTGGATGTTCAAAGCTCTCCTTGCCCCATCTGCCAGGCCCGGGCTGGTCCTTAAAATGGTCATCGGCGGTGTGGAACTTGATGTGCGAATACTGCGGGAACTCCTGGCGTGTGGGAACTTTCTGCACCCATGTCGCTGGGGGTTCGAACATGCAGCAGCACTTCGAAGTGCTAGCACTTCATTCTTCTTCCCAAACAGTTTACATCCGTTTACTGTTGGAGCTTCAACCACCACAACCATCCGGTTCCGACCGGTGCACTGGTCCGGTCGACGGTGGAGGACGGTGGCGGTCCGATCCATGGCGATCCGATGGGTCGCTTGACGGACACGGCGAAGCTCCATGACTGAATAGGTAGACCCCACATGGAACCTGAGACGCCGCTCTTGGGTTTGGTCTGAAGTCGTCTTTTCATGGTCTTTTCCAGAACCTAGTCCATGCCGTGATCGCCCGTTTCCGGCCTCGGGATCTGGGTGTATATTCAAAATTAACTAAACAATCCATGAATGGCATACTCATTTGGTGCGGTTGATTTCAGGGGTCTTTCTGGGGCGGCATATCTTCCAGTCCCATGGATGGTCTGGGATATCCAGTGCTTTCGTTTCGGGAGCTTCCCACCTCATTGGCTTGAAGTGAGGACACGTCCACAACGTTTGCGGGTCCCCCTCACACCGCTCCATCCCAGCAAAAGCCTGCAAAAGCACGAACCACGCGACGACAAAAGTGTGTCCTCTTCCAAAACCTTCTTCGCCATGTCGAGCATGATGTCACCTCCTTTGCCCTTGCTCACACGCCTCAGCCACACCAAAAAAAGACCAAAGAATGACCAAGAGGGTCAGGCAAAACCCCTCACAACACCAAACATCTTCATTCACTTCTCCAACTTTGCCAGAGTCTGGGGCACATATTGCCCACGCAGAGAAGGGGAAACATGGTGCCCAGCCAGCAACATGTCCTAGAGTCGATTGTGGGAAATATATTAATCATATTATATATATACCCTGGGAGTCAAAGACTATAACAAGAATGGTCTGACTAGGGGACCTGATTTCGGGAACTTCCTTTACTTCAGCCAGTCAAAATATAGTCTTTGGACTTCTATATATATATATAATTATATATATATATATCTGGGCAGGATTGTGAGGCAGAAGATGGCTTCTCTCCGGGCCTGACGCTGAAGAGTGATCAATCACGACGCCGCCTTAATCGCCTTATATAATCCCCCTCCTTGGCCAGGTTCACTATTCTCAAGCTGCAACACGGTGCTGTTTCACGGGGATTCCCTTTTGGGGGGGGACCGGTTTTGACCGGTGTGCTCTGCCGTGACCGGTTTGGGACCCACCCGCGGATAGGATTGCTATGGACTGCTGATCCGTCCAGGGCGCCCCAAGATCATCACGTGATCGATCTTGTAGAACTCGCCTGAGCGATTGGCGCGGAGCCCGCGGATGTTTCTGGAGCGATTTGCCTCCAGGTGAGGGACCATTCCTGTCGGCACCGCGGGTTGGTCCCGTTTTTGGGTGGGGAGTCTTCGTCGTCTTCCATGTGGTGCACAACGAGAACAGGGGAGTGGTGCAAGTGCCAGGGTGCAAGGGTGGAGGGAAGAAGAAACAAATGACTGGAAGGACATTGCTGCGAACTTTGGATTTGAGGGTGTTCTAGGACCTTCCCCAAACACTATGGATATTATTGACCCCTTTTCAACCAGGCATCTAGTCCCAGATTGGTCATGTCGATTTTCTTGGGTCTCTTTCACACAGTGGAGAAGGTCACATCCTGAACAGATCCACGGGTTTTAGACGTCCCAAACGTTGACATCTTCATGGTCCAAACGGGTCCAAACGAAGCGAACTTGACGAACAAACGCGTCGGACCGGGTGGGGTCGCCTCCCACGAAGCCTTCGCTCATTTGGGAGCTTCCTTAATGGGAATCGATTCGATGGATGCGAGTGCTGGGAGAATCTCAACGTGATCTCGAACTCTTCCGTGCGGGTCGCAGTAGCCAGCCAAGGCATAGCCCAGGTAGACTCCCACGGTCTCATAGATCTTCTTCACCTGAAAACTTCGGTTGCAGCAAGACCTCTGACAATGGCTCCCTCTTGCTTGTTCTCTGAAATTTGCATCCAGGCCATGACCGTCTACTTCAAGGCCCCGCAAACACATGAAGGATGAGTTGGTTTGCCTCCACACAAGGGGTGAACAAGCAACATGTTGGCAGAATAAATGCAACCTCAACCAGCACCCCATCACAGATGGAGTCTGGTTTGTTGTAGCAGGTCCAGCTATAAATTTCATACAGCCACTTCGCCAAAGAGACAGATTGGCAGAAGATACCACAAGATACGTAGTATGCAGTACGGATTCAACTAACATCAACTCTTGGGATTAGACATCTCAAACACCCCGAACCTGAAGCAAGGCACCCTCCGACTCCTTTTGCATTTATCCGGACATCCGCTTCATTCCAAGGACCCGTTTTCGGCGACCAACCCCCGACGGGAGTGTTGGGATGGTCTTCAGACGTTCACCCCCCCCCATGCACAGGCGCCCCCAGTCGACAGCGGTCATCGTTCTCGTCCGGCGGACATCCATGTGGCCGGACAAAAGAACCACCTGTCGAGGAACCGGGAACAATCCAAAACAACATCTTCAACACATGCATGTTATTCCCTAGATGTCCCCCGTTTCGAGGATTCACCCCGTTCGTGAAGACCAAAAGCATCAAACACCTCACCCTTTTCTCCGGAAAAAGAGAGCTGCCGGTCCAAGACACCTCCTCGGCCTTGTCGCCCTTCATGGCCTCCTGGCAAAGATGGAAGGACCCCCCCCCAGCATCGAGCGGAGCCTCAGACGCGCAGTACGCCCGGCTGTTCCGCGTCTCCTGGATCAACTTCAAGCACTGGGCGTGGTTCTCATGCTTGATCGTGCACATGTCCTGCGCAGAACTCGATGCGAGACCAGCGCTCCGATCGAAGCAGCTTTGGTACGACGGAGCTGCAGAGCCCTTCCAAGCGCTGAAACGGTTGGGGTGTGCAAAAACCAACTGTTGGACGATCTGAATGGTCTGAAACGTGCCCTTCCAAGAGGGAAAACCTCCATCTTTGCTTCACCCTTTCCGGACCCTTTCCAGGACTCCAGGAACCGGGCAAAAAATGGGGAAAAGAAAGAACCCCCAAGGACACCCCAGGCTTTCCTTCCTTTTCCCCTCTTCCCAACTTTCTACCCCGGTCTTGCTCCCCTCGGGCAAGTAACCGGGTCACAAAGCCCTATGGGCACAACCCCATGGCGTTTCGCCAGCGACTCCGGTTGACCCAGAGGGGCCATGGACATCCATGATTTCAGGGAGTATCATGCTCAAATGGTTGGTGAGGGTCCCCCTTCCGTCTACGCCCAACTATAAAGCCTTAAAAGCCTGGTGATGGCCGTCTTTGGCTATCCTTCACATGTCCCAAACACTCAGATGGATGGTATTGTATTTGTATGATGCTGTATGGCATGTGGCCTACACTGTGGGTGATCGCCGAGGGCCAGTGGACTCCATTTTGCCGAGCTGCAGCATGAGGATACTTGTAGTTGGCAGGAACTTCCACTCCTCCCTGGCGGTGGGGGAGACGACTTCTGTCATGCCTCTGAGTTCTTGCACAATGTGAAAGCTGCACCCGACCTTGAAACAGTGAGATGCCCTAAATACAGCTAAGAACAGTACCTGAACCCATGGCCGAACCATGGCGCTGCCGTAAACCCAACCGGTCTACGCCAGTGCCGCCAGTGTTGCCATGAATCGACCCCCGGTCGATTCCGCATCCAAGGTCCGCCCTCGAACTCCAGGGGGACCGGGGTTGTCCAATCTCATCGAAATCGCAACACCTCTGGCACCAGAAGTCCAGTTCGACTATATTTCTCGTTAGGGATGGTTATGGATGGTTAGCTATGCCCCAGAAGTCCAGTTCGACTTTTTTTTTGACCGTCTGAAGTATTCGAAAGTTCTTGACATCAGGTCCCCGTTCGTCAGACCAATCTATAGTCTTTGACTCCCAGGGGATCTGGGGCTGCTTTGGGACTCGGGTCACGAGGCGAACCCTGGGGGCGGAAGAGACGGGACGTCGCTCGCCTGCCTGCCAGCCAGCTCAGCGGTCACGGGTGAAGCCATCACTTGGCCAAGACTGGGGACCTCTTGTTGAGGGGAAGCCATCAATTGGAAGGGAACGCCTCAAAACAGGTCGGAACACGTTCGGACAGCCGCTTGGATTGGCAGAAAAAGGGAAGCGGAAACCCAACCAACACCCTCGCTCGCAGGGAAAGACTCACAAATCACCCCTAAGCATAAATCACCTTACTACCTCTCACGTTCACACTATTGAACACTCCATGAACACGTTTTCATGGAGATGGGGAGGTCCAACTGTCGCAGTCCAAAGGCATCCGGAGGCATTTCCATGGAATCTCCTCATCGAGTCAACCCCAAAAACCCTAATGAGATCGACAAAACGAGCGAGCCATCTCACCAGGCACCCCCTCACACCATGCAAAAGGTGTTCACCCTTTTCTATCCCTTTCTTCCAAACCACCAGGCACCCCCACGACGCGTCCGCCGTCTCCGCCCGTCTCCGCTCGGACGGGCCTTGGAGGCCAATTTCGTGGTGCCACGTTGACCGAGGTACATGTGGCTCAAGCCGCGATGGGCACCCTTGGACCATGGGTCCGTGGGAGCCTTGGGGTTCAAATCGATCTTGCAATAGCCTCGGCCGGGAGCTCGGCGACTCGGTGCTCATGAGGTGAAGTGGAGGGAGGAGATGGGAGGGGAGTCTCTGAGTTGAGCTGTTCTTCCGAACTTGGGGAATGCACATTGTGTTGGGAGATCAGCGGATTTCCATGGCGCTGTCCATGCTCTTGATGCAGATTCCATAGCCATGCTGTCCATAGGGAAAGCTTGTACTTTCCAGTGTCTGTGAGTAAAACTCCTCTTTCCAAGACAGTTGATGAGAAAAAAACTGTTTCTTGGAAGGAACACCCGTGTTTGCAGAAGAACATATACCAGGAGTCACAAAGGGGTGCTTAATGGAGGTTAGGGGTGCCCATTATCCACTCACTTAGGGACGAGTCACACCACCCCTTTGTGACCACTGGTAGAAGAACACGACATGTTCAAGATGGATGATCCACCTGCTAGATTCTGAGCTCGTCCTGACCCTAGCGGCTGGAGGCAGCTTTCTTTCCTCTATCATTGAATTCAGTGGGATGATGACTACATTGCCACCTCCTGGTATATACAGTTAGTATTCGAAGAGGTCCTAAATGGTTTAATTATTAATGCCTGGAACCTGCTAGCTCAGGATAGGGATAATCTAGCATAATCTAACAGACTTTATTCAATCTTGACATGCGCTTTCCTTCCAACTCTTCAGCGCAACAACCAACATATCAGACAAAACATGCTCAGAATCTGCCCCTATCGCCGAGAACAGCCTGGCCCCGCCTGGCCCCTGGGTCTTTCCTCAATTTCATCGCGTCTTGAAGCCGTTGGAACGTTCGGTGCTTCCAAGGCGCACAGCTCAGAGATCCAGCCCATGAGGTTGCCATCCGCATTGGCGTATCCTCCGAAGGAAGTCGATGGATCGAGGCGGATTTCACCCATGGATTGAGAGCTAGGCGCGGGTTGCTGGAGGCGTTCTTTTGGGAATTTTCCCCTGCGTCATTGGCAGGAATTGGTCCAAACATCTGGTGCTTTGGATGATGGATGAGGATGTTGGCTCGGCGGAATCTTGAATGTCAAACAAGACTTGGTCTGTGCTGCCTTTGCTTTTTGGATGGGAACCGTTCGGCACGATGAATGAAATAGAGAAATGATCCAGGCCACAGTCCCCTCACGACTGACCCTTTGGAGAAATCATCATCGACCCACAGCTCCGAGGCAACCTGTGCGCCGTGCCACCCTTTGTGATGCTTTCATTTCCCAGGTGTCCAAATTGGGGGGTTCGGCTGGGTTCCATTCGGTTTTGCTTTGCCCATTGGTCACCCACCCATCTGTTCCACTTTGGGTGCTTCGGCCGACGGCTGCTGTGCCGAAACCAACGCGCCATCCCCGGTCGGGGCTCCAGCACCCTCAGAGCTGCCCATTGAGATGCCCATGACGTTGCCAGCCTCCGACCGAGGTCCGTCCGAGGTCCGAGGTCCGGTGGTGCGTTTTGGGGTCGACACACCAAGGGTGGTAGCGCCCCAACTGGGGCGCCACATGGTCGAGTGGGGATTGAACCACATCCAGTCGGTGGGAACAGTCCTGATCCAGGTCTGAAAGGAAGCACTCTGGTTTGATTCAACTGGCTGGACAACCCTACCCTACTTGTATATGGGTCTCCAGACAGGGCACCCAGACAGGAAGTGCACCTGCACCCTCGTAGATCCTGTGGTTTCCTGGTGACAAGTTCCGGTGCCCCAAAACAAGGTGTGGTCGGGCAGTTTTGCGATCCCGATGGGCCATCGATGGGCCGGATTTCACCTCACCCACTTCACAACCACTGGTACCTGAGACCAGAGGTCAGAACCTTCCTTGCGAGATGACGCCCTTCATGATCAAACAGAAAAAATAGAAACATATCCACCATATTTTCATATAATCAATATTGATCAATAGAAATATGCCCTGGGGGCCCTGGAAGATTAACATGGAACCTGAAAACCACTGGATTGGCAAGCTAGTCTTCCAGTCTGGTCCATGCCGGTCCTGTCACCTACTCAATGCACAGCTCCATTCAGTGCTCTCCTGGTCTGGTCCTCTTCTTCCCGGGCGCACAAGCACAACGCCCGCACCTTGATCTTCTGCACCGCGGCAAGGGCAGTGACCTCGCCATCGTTGATGACCTTCAGCGGCACATCCCTGGCAATCTCCTTGCCTGTTTCGTCGGAAGCGGCGAGAACTCAGACCAAGGCCCAGAAGTCGATTCGCTGCAGGCTGGGGGGGGGTGAAGCGGCAGAGGGTGGGTTTCGGTCGACGGAGGGAGGAAAGTGATCTTTGGTAGGAGGGAGGTACTCGCACTTCATGAAGTCCGGACCCCCAAAAATCATCTCACCAAACTGGATTAGACAGAACCAGGACCATGCTGCTGCGAAGATAAGCTCTAAAAACAAGGAGTGGCTGACAAAGACTTCAATGACCTGCAGTGGACCTTCTTGTAGATGGCACGAGAAGAAACGAGAAGAAACGGGAACACAAACAGCGAGTGGGACAACGGTGCAATCTACTGGAACCACAGGATATTCTTCGCCACTGCAAGAGAATCTGGTCATTCGCATTGGATCACATTCGATCACTATGATCACTGTTTGAACCCCAAGCTTTTGGAACTTCTAGTACTGTTCGAACACTTCCAGTACGCCCGGGTCTTCCACTTTGGTCCTATTTTGCTTTTAAGAAAACAACCTAGAATTCTATGAATCGCGAATAGCTATGAAACATGGCGGATGGCAGTTATTTCGTATGCTTTGGCCCAAACACACCACGGAACTTGCCTAACTTCCTGACATTTGGGGTGCTCATGGGATGGATTTCTGGGGTCCATCCATGTCATCTCTTCCAGTCTCATGGCACGAGAGTGTCCGGGTCATGTGAGTCATGGTCCGTGATGGAACCGAGAGTTGTCCGGGACACGCTTTTTCAAGGCCTAAAGGCCTGGCTCCACCTTTAAGGCTCTTGGGTGATACGAAGCTTCGGTGTCCAAAGGGCCCAAGCGAATGAAGATGTCCACCACCTTTTCCTTGTAGACATCAGGGGGCACCTGGGCTGTGGCCAGGCAGGTTTCCTGGAATCTTCGCATCACCTGTTAACGCGGACGAGAGGTGAAACAGACGCTCTTCGGTGTCCGAAGTGGTTCAAACCCTCATTCTGCTGCAAAAACTGCTGCACATAGGGGGAAGCCACAAGCAAATCCCTTGGGGGACGATACGAAGGATGCCCCAGTGACCAGTTCTCCTCCAAGATGATTGGTTTCTCCACTTCTGTTCTACAACTTTCAAAAACCAATCCTGAGTCCCGTGGTACCATCCATCTCACTACACACCTTTGCTACCATCCAAGTCGACCTCGTCGTTGACTTCGCGACCCTGCTCACACCAAACTTTTCGATCCGCACCAAACATCACCGCCCTGGATCTTCAAAGTGACGGAACTTGATATACTATCTCAGTTTGAGGTCACCAAAGGGCCTGTAAAAGGTCACAAACAAGAGCTCTAACAGGGTCAACTCACAGGAATCATGTATAAACCTCTCCTTGTTACTCCGAGGGGCTAAAAATGGCTAAAAACATCTGCTCTTCACATGAATCACCTCCCCACTACAACCGATCCACCATCATGATCCACCATCCCCATCTCCCTACAAGTAAAAGCCAACTCAACCCTACAACCTCCACCTCCTCATGATCCACCTCCTCCCCATCACCCTATCAGTAAAAGCCAACCCTAAAACCCCATAGCACCCCGTTCCCCGTTCACCGTTCGCCGAAACCCTTCGCCGTGCGCTCCAAGTCTCGTTGGGGAAGATGTCGCACCAGGTGGCCTCGTTCAGCGCGCTCACCGTGCCGGTGGCCGACCCGCCGATGGCCTCCACCTGACCGAGGGACCACGCGGCTTTCGCGCGCGGGACCAGGCGCGCGGAACCGGTGAGCTCCACGGTGCGGAGCAGAACCAAACACACAGACAAACGGGACGGACCGGAAACCACTCAGAATCTGAGGATTTATCGGTGGACAAGCAACGGATGGTGGGAAGAAAAACCGGTGATCCTTGCAAACACTTTGGTTATATCACTCTGGGTTGATGAAAGAGCCCACAAGTTCACCTCACAAGTCCACCAGTTTTCATCTACGGTCAGTGTGATCTTGCCTATCCCAAGTGGTCAACACCTGCCTGGCAAGTCCCAGCTCTTCGACTGATTGTTGATGCTTTTTTGTCTTTTGCGGTCTTGCTTGAGCCACTCCCTCGCCTTGGGCAAGGTGTCCTTGGCCAACTTCAGGGCGGCCAAGATGGCATCAAAGTGATACCTTGCCACCCGGCACCCCCTTTTCTCGCCAGGCGCAAAGTTTACGGGAGGCAGCATGCTTTGGAGTTGGTGAAGTCGTCTTCAAGAGTTCATCCCAGGAAAACAGCGGATACCTGTTGCCGGCCCTGGCCATCCGTTTTTGGGCGCACTGGCCATCCGCATGACTTCAGTCGAACCAACAAGTGGTGGCCATTGGCCACTGGCCATTGACGCGTCGATGTCACCCAAACCCACCAAGTAGAGATGTCATCCAAACCGACACCGATGTCTGGAAGCGTCGATGTCTCACCACATCGAAGCCATTTGGGGTTGAACGTTTGCTCCCAGAAAGCGAAAACCCAAGACGTCGACGGTGACCTGGACCTATCCTGGACCTTCAGGCCGGTGACCGATATCCCGAAGAGGTCAGACAGACCACTAAAAGGCTCACCAACAGAGACCTCCCAAGAGGTCACGACCTAAAAGTTCTGGTCGAAACATCCCTGGAAACCGGAGGAAGCACCCAGTTCGGTCGAGTTCGGTCGGAACCAACGAAGAAACAATGACTCATTTTTACAGCTTCGGAGATGTCAACACCCCCGAAAAACCATCGGGAACCGAACCCGAAACATCCAACCGTTGAACGCACCAGACTCAAAGGCCTCCAACCCTCAAGCTCGCGTCGGCGGACTGACTGGAAGGCGTTAGGCGCCGGACTAGTCGCAGTGACAGCTTCATCAACCAACATCCAACCAAGAAAACCGCAGTCAGACACCGCAAAAAGAACAACACCAAGGTGCTGAGGGTCTGGGTTGGTCACGTCCCACTCCGTCTCCTTGGAATAGACCACCTCGTTGTCCTGGCAACTCAGCCAAGTGGGATCAGTGGGATCTACAAATCCCAGAGATTCAAGGCTCCATGGGGTCTTGTAGCTGAAGCGAGTTCTTTGTTGGAAGGGAGACTTGCGCCCGCGCATGCGCAGACGTGCTGCGCAAACACGAAGGGGTGTCACCTCCGTCCGTATGGGTTTTCTGCAGCTCTGCAGGCTGCCTTTTTCTGAGCGAGCATCGAAAATGAAGTGCTCTTGAAGGAAAAGGATTGGATCCAGGATGATCGCATGGCCAATTCTTTGGCCATACTGCTAGTCTGAGTCATCATCAGGATACCTTGTACTGCACCACGTAGCAAGGGTAGGCTTGCTCGCGGTCGAAGATTGCAAACTCTTGGTGAAATTGAGACTGATTGTGATGTCCTCTGCAGGGCCAAATTCAAGCATGCTTCACAAACCAACCGTGAAGAGTGTTTTTTAGCAAGGAAACAACTGTTTTGATGTGCATGCATACAAATAAAGAAGGAAAAAAAGGAAGATTCAAAGGAAGGAAACAAAGACAGTTGTAGTTACATAAATATACAAAAAACAAGCAAACAAACAAACAAACAAATGATGAAGTTCCGGCAAAGTCCTGATAAGACATGGATCCGCCTACCTGAGAACCCACATGCTTGCCGTCCTACTGCTGAGGGGTAAAGTGATTCAATCCCAAATGTCCACGACCATCTTCGACGCGAACCTTTCAACATGCATCAGTATGCGTGATACCTTATGCTTGCCTTCCATCATTCCACATGTTTGGTTCGAACGATTGCACTGGAACAGAAAACAAAAACATTTGCTGAAGAGAAACATGAAGTGCAACCTTCTCATGGTTGTTGGTGGCCCTGCTTGCAAGGTAGATGGAGCCCCCAAAAGTATTGCTGAGCCTAGTCGATGTAAACAAAAAACTGGTAAAACATGTTGCATCACCTTGGTGGGCACCGAACCTGGTTTTTGAGTCGTATTAAAATGTTTTTATCAGTGGCCTATCTTGTGCGGGGCATGCTCATAGCGGTCCTTGGACTTGCCCAGGATGTACTACAATGGAACCAAAGGTTCCCTTCCCACCCAGCCGCTCTGGAGGTCGACGGTCATTGTACCTGACGGAAAATATACCCGCCACCATGAAGGTCTCAAGGTACAAGTGAAAACGCCAGAACGCAATCAGCTCCCAGTTTGTTCAAGCCAGTCTCAAAAAGCCTACAACATCCAAATGTTGGTCTAGCGTCATTAGCATCAGCAGAGTCTCAGCAGGAAAGATGCAAATCCTTTGGTGTACGACTAGGCGTTAAATTACAGCGCTTGTGCAACATGTATGTAGTTTATGGACAATCCTGCCCATATTCTGGTGATGCCAATGGTGCTCGACACAACTGCTACCTCAGAACTTCCTCTCCTCTTAGCATACTTTCTTCTCTAGAGATAAAGCTTTACAACAGCCATTGTTGATCATTTTCCCATACGTCCTGGCGATGTTAAAATGTCGGTTTGCGGCCGACACTTCTAGCACCACCTGGGCTTACATGGTTTCTTCAATTAAGACTTTGTAGTGAAAAGTGCTGAAAAAAATGTATAGATTTGTGAGCATATTTTTGGCCTAAGCCCTGATAAGAGCTTTGAGGGCTTGGGTGTGTGGATGTAGTTCTTCATCCTTTTCTTGGAGGTTCCAACTTTGTGAACCTTCCCCGCTCCTCAGGGCAGAATCTCCAAAAAAATGCTAAACAGTGTAACTTCCACCCAGCCCCCCAAGGACCACCAGCTGGACTTAGCCGTCTGTATATGAAGTGAAGTTTTCCCATACTCTCCGCGCGCTAATCGTCGATTTTGCTGCGCAAAGACCCTGCTGATACGCGCAGTCCCCCCAAGGGCTTCGCCGGTTGGCAAAGCCTGTCAGTAGTATCTATGAAGTTAGCCTCAAAAGCAGAACAAGTTTGACGGGACCTTTTCAGGACACCAAACACGTCAAGGATTGCATCCATGCCTGGCCTGGTTTCAGTCACAACGCAGGCATCACCAAGCACCACGCGAGCAACGATGAGCGTCCTTGTCCCCTTGCATGTGCAGGACTTGGAGTGGTGCCTGCAGGGTTGCAGTGGTATATATGCAATGCTCCAAAGAGGCATCTAATTTTGACTGCAAGGAGACACAAACACGGAATCCAGCCGAGACCTTCACAACATCCTGCAAGTGCACTTGCCACGCAAGTTCGCAGGACAAGAACCTGAACAAGAACATGGCCGTCTCAGCCTCGTGTTTTGAAACCATCTCTCATGAAAGGATTTGTGCACACATCGTTGTTGCGCTGCGAAACTCTAACTAGGATAGCCCCCGCAATGGAAAAAAATATAACGTCAAACAAATGCAGCGAAACGGACCCATTCGTGCTTCAAAAGGGTCCCCCGTAAAAATAATTGAGAATTCTGAATATCAACCAGGAATCTCACCCACCAATTCCATTTGTGATCCTATGAGTCTGTCTAATGGCCATCTGTGATGTTAATTTTTCCACGATGGCCGAGGATACAACGGAGACCTGGATGCAACCGCGAGAAGAAGAAGAAAAAGAAGAAGAAGAAGGTGCCCAAAAAGCTGAAGCAAGAACCCTAAGAGCCAGGACCGAAGAAAAACTCGGAAAGCCACTTGACTCAAACTTTCTGCCCTGCCTGCAAGTGTATTGGTGGCTTTTGCAAGCTTCTGATCCAAAGTAGACCCCTTTGCCATACATTCCACGATTGCATATGCGAGGGTCGAAACCTGTGGCGAGGATGGCATCTGCTTTGTCCGCTGTGGTGCCATGAAACAAGACCTTCTCATCCACGTCCGTGGCAAGTGCCTCGCCACAATTGAACATGTCTTGCTCATTCACCATCAGATTTCCTGCCAGAACTTAAATTCCCAAACAGGCATGCAGAATCAACTTTGGCGGGTGAGGACCAAAGCCACAAAGAGAGACAAAGAAACTGTCAAACTCAAGCGCCTGCCGTCATGGGAATTGAGAGCCACAGGCGCCACTGACACATTGAAGCTCTTGTGTTCCTGCCTAAGGGCTGCAAGCCGTGTCTTGTAACCATGCCATAGTCGCCCGTGCTCTATGCGGTGCATTGAGATCACCTGGCAAAAAAAACGCGCTCAAGCTGCAAAATCTGTATTTGGAGAAAATGGTGCGTTCAAAACAAAAGCTTGGAGTGCTTCATTCCAACACAGGTCCGCCTTGGCATTCCGGATGCAATTGCACGCTTGCGCATGTGCGGTCGACCGAAGGATTTCCTGCATCTTCAGAAGGATGCCCTCATCGTCAACTGCAACCTTGAATGACTCAACATGTTCACTTTGTTGCAGCAGCGAGGCTGCACTGGTGATCCACTGCGGCGGCACCAGCGGCAAGATGCGAATCTGCCGCACCGTGCCAGTATCCGTGCGATGTTGCTCCATTCTCTCAAAATCGACCTTACGAGCAATGCCAGCTGACTGGATGGTTGCGAAGCGGGCTGTGGAGTCTTCAAGATAGGCCGTGTAGGCCTGGAGCATCTGATTGTTTCCTTCAGGAGGAAGGGACAACCAAGCACCATACTCTTGATATTGACACGTTACACCACAGCCACCCACATGTGATGGAACACACTCTTGCAACTGTGCTTTCAACTCCTCCTTCTCCTTCAAGGCGGCAGTCAACTGTGCTTGCAACTGGGACACTAACTTCTCCCTCTTTGAATTGGCTTGTACCTCGGACGCTAACTCCTCCTGCTCCTTTAAAGCAGCAGTCAACCGCGCTTGTAAATCAGACACTAACTTTTCTCTCTCCAAATCATAGGCTACTCGCATCTTCCTTTGCTCCAACTCCTCGTGCAAGATGGCCTCCACCGCATCCTTCTGTTTCAAGGTTCTTGTCAGCTGGTGCTGTATCTCGGCCTTCTCCTCCTCGTTCTCTTTCAAGGTAGCAGCCAACCGTTCTTGCCACTCTGCCTTCAGATTCTCCGTCTCCTTGAAGGTCGTCGTTACCTGCTCTTGCAGCTTGGCCTTCAAATTCTCAATCTCTTTCAAGATCGCCGTCAACCGCTTCTGTAAGTCGGCCGTCGCATTCTCCTTCTCCTTCAAGGTCACTTGCAACTTGGTCTTCATGTCCTCCTTCTCTTGCAAAACAGCAGTCAAGCGCTCTTGCAAAATAGCGGTCAAGCTCTCTTGCGCTTCGGCCGTCAACTTGTCCTTCAAGGCATCGCTCGACGTTTTTTGCCAGCCTTGTGCTTTGCAGTGCGCAATGGACAGCTCCTTTGTCTTTAGGTCGAGCTGCTTCTCCAGAAAAACAATCTGCGGCTCACCCCGAGCCTGCCTTGCTTGCTCTCTCGCAGCAATGAGACGATCCTGCTCTTGCGTCTCTAAACAAAAAATAAAAACAGTGCGAACTCTTCGCACATAAAGAACAACAAACTACCAGGACGTTCCCACTGACCTCTTCAGGATTGGTAGGATTGGTAAGTAACCTGTTCAAGACCAAAGTGACCTCGTTGTGGGATGCCAAAATGGTCACTCGGAAGGTCCTGGTACACATGTTCTGATTGCACTCCCAAGTCTCATTCCTCAGTTTAGCCACCTGCACTCGCAAGTCGAAAAGCTCTTTCTCGTTCTGCTCATGAGATCCAGCGACACTATCGTGCTCAGTGTTCTTAGCTCGTCTCGGACTGCGGCTCGTCGTCCTCTCAGACTGCGACGTGGACTCACCTGGCTGGCTCCCGGAGGGAGGCGCGGTGGGCTTCGTCGGCTTCGTGGGCTTCGTGCCAATGTCATTTGACTTGGACTGAGCTGACTTTCTCGAAGTGGACTTGGTCTCGCACTTGACCCGAGTCGCCGGTTTCAAAGGAATGTCATGTGACGTAGGTTTAGTTCTCTTGGTGCCCGACTTTCCACCACGGAAGGTGGGTACACTGGACGTGGCCCCAGTCTTGTCTGACTCTGACTTCACCTGAAGGTCGGTGTCGGCTTCCTTGCAAGCAGCTAACTCAACCAGCTTGGCTGAATCAGCCGGCTTCGACTCCCAACGGTCATCCCACTCCCAAGCTTCCCAAGAGTCGGGCTTTGACTGCCAAGAGTCCTTCCACTCCAAATTGCAAGAGTCATCCCACTCCCAAGCTTCCCAAGAGTCGGGCT